GAGAGAGCACGAGGAGAGAGAGAGAGAGAGAGAGAGAGAGAGAGAGAGAGAGAGAGAGAGAGAGAGGCGAACTGAAAGGATGCACATGAGTTCCACCACCTATCTGTTATCCGAAATGAGAGAGAGAGCGAGAGAGAGCGAGAGAGAGCGAGCGAGCGAGAGAGAGAGAGAGAGAAAGAGAGAGAGAGTATAAGAGAGGAAAACACAGAGAGCGAGAGAGAGAGAGACAGACATTAACAAATGCGAACTGGATGAATGCGCATATATGCAATTCCGACCACGTACCTGTAATCTGCAATTGCATATGGCGATCCGACGGTTCCTTTTCGTGCTTCAAATCCAATCGGGTAATGAGGCATAAGCCATAGCACGTCCACTCCCATGGCCTTGATTCTGCCCAGATCAGCCTCCACGGCAGCGAACGTGCCCTCTGGAGAATGATTACGTACGAACACTTCATAGATGACCAGATTCCGTGCATCGCAGCGTGCAAACTCTTCTTCCCAATCACGATTGCCGGCGACACAACGTGAGGCAGCAGCAAGCGGGCCTCCCAGACTGGAAGCCTTTCTTCCCTTCTCTGCGGGGCGGAATGCGCTCCTCCCCGGTACAACACCGAACACCCTGTTCCCGGCGGAAACGACGACATCTGCCGTCTCCCCCATTGCGCTATCTTCTCCTCCTTCTCCTCCTCCTCCTATTCCGCTCCCTCCCTTCACCTGCTGCGGTTGCGCACACCCCCCACCCCCCCCTTCCACCAATCCAGACGTGGCTGCAGCCGTTCCTCCCAGTAGATTACGCGGCCGCTCTACTATGAGCATAGTATTTCCCGAAAACGCCGACAACGAAGATCCCAACCTCTTCACCCTCAACCTCCCCTCTCTCTTCGTTATCGCTGACTGCACTTCTTCCTCTCTCTTCCACGTTCGTTGTTGCGTTCTTGCCTCATCTATCCCTTCCCCGTACCAATATAAAGCCGCCGCTTCTCTTGCCCTCGCCCCTGCCCCCCGCGTCCCCCCCGCCCCCCCCTTCTTACTTCCCCGCCCTTTACCTACAGCGAATGGCCCTCCACTTTCTCGAAGTGTGTCACCCCCTCGCGCACGTCTAACGACACCGACTCCGGACTCCCCGCCGGTGTCTCTACAGCTGCGGGGTCCCGATCCTCTACCCGCTGCTTTGGCGATCCCGACTCGCGACACGCGGAGGACAGGCGGACCTACTCGCCCGCCGCTTCCGCCGACCGTTCGGAACCTCAAGGGTCGCCCGACGCTCCAGCAGCGCAATCCCGCGTCGTCGGCGGACTCATACTCCCGATGACAACGAAGGCTGTTACTCTCATTGATGAACCTTCTCCTTCTCCAATCTACTACACTCGACGTCACTCCGCCTAATCCACATACGGATAACGATAAATTCCAACCCCCATCAGACCTGCTATTACTGATGCAGATGGTCGACGACAATGATAGCTCTCTGCTCACTGGTTCATTGCGACGGAGGGGAGCTGTTACCGTCTTATAAGTGCGCCTACAACGACAAATGGTCATGACCTGGCGCGCGGTATCCGTCCCGCTCCCGGTCCCATCAGAATCTCTCTCACTGGTCCAATGAGAGCTGAAGGAGGGGCGAGAGTAGCGCAAAGAAGGGAGGAAAGACGCCCAAGATACTACTGCTGCTGCTATACTAGGAACAGAATTGCCAGCAGACTGATGAGTGCATAATAACTGGTGTTGTGCATTCGATGCGTGTCCACTGTGACAGCGAGATCGTCCGCCTACGCCTCCTACCGATGCACAACAGCAGCAGGAAGACCAACCCCTGCAGCTGCTGGCGATCCAATCAGTATGGCCCCTCCTCGTGCCCCTCTCCCTCTCCCTCCTCCTCCGCTTCCTCCTCTCTCTTTCTTCTGCTGATTCTCCTGCTTCTGCTTCTATCCTCGGCAGAGCCCGACGTTCCTGTCCCGACGTACTCCACAATCGGGATCGCGGGCCTGATCGGCTGATTGTGTCTTCAAAGGGCAAGAGGCAGCGACACGGACAACCCCGTGCCGATCCTGTTCCTCGTACGAGTAATACTTGTCCACCTCCCACTCCCACTCCTCCACCTCCTGTGGATGCCCTCCCTGAACCAGATACCCCCGCTAAACCAGAATATGCCCCACCTACCCGTCCTCTGGGAATAACCCCAGAGAGCGGAGAAGATGAACAGGTAGTAGGAAGAATTTGACCAAGTGCATCAGGACGCCTGCAAGGTCCTCCTGATTGTATATACCCTTCTCGAACATGGCTGTCAAGGTCACATCGACCAGACGACTTTGCCGTGTTACTGAAGCAGCAGCACCAGGAAGAGGAGGAGGAGGTGGTGGTAGAGGGAGGAGGGAGAGAGAGAGACATTAGGAATTTGCCTCCCACAGGCCCCGCTAATTGCCTTAGTTGGGAAGAATAGACACATAAAGGAAGGCTATTTGCCGTCCTCCCGAACAAGCAGCGGGAGGAAGAGGAGGAGCAGGGGGAGGAGGTGCGGGTGGAGGGAGGAGGGAGAGAGAGGGACAACGACATCGGGAATTTTTGCCTCCAACAGTGTCCTGCTAACTAATTGCCTTAGTTAAGGAAAATAGACACGTATAGGGAAGCTATTGGCCCTGCTCCCAAAGCAGCGGCGGGGGGAGGGGGGGGAGGGGGGGGGGGGGGCTGGGGGGGGGGGGGAAAGAGAGAGGGACACCGAGGTCCCGCCAATTGCCTTTGTTGGGAAGAATAGCTTAAAAAAAAAAAAAAAAAAAAAAAAAAGAGAGAGGAGACACGTATAGCAAACCGATCTCACGGCCTACTCACGCTTGCTAGGACTTTTTTTTTTTACTCATTTATGCACGTAATTAAGGTCAGATACCTGCAGGTCAAGCCGTAAATACGCTCAGATGCATTTGAGAGAGAGAGAGAGAGATGAAGTGGGTATGCCCTCCGCAGGATGTTGTCAATGAGGCGCCAAATGCATAAGCAAACGATGATTAGGCCAATTTTTTTAATTTTTTTTTAATGAAAAAATTAGGCCAATTTCGACGTTCAGCGACAATTAGAAATTAGACAGGGCGGGGTTTATTACCGATTAACCACCGTGGAGTCGAGGAGGAGAGGAGCGACCACGGACAGGGAGGCTATCACACGACGACTCGTTGGACGTGTGACAATTTGTCAGTCAGTACGTCCCGACTGCCGGGACCACCACTACCGTCGACGTGCACCGAGCTCCAATCTGACAGATGGAGTACGACCGTCGATTTGGCGGCAAGCTGAAATCTTCTGACGGAGGACTGTGCGGCGGCGTTCGACGCCGCTCCCGCCAACACTGTCACACACCAGCCTTCTGACGGAGGACTGTGCGGCGGCGTTCGACGCCGCTCCCGCCAACACTGTCACACACGACCATCCATGTCATGGCTCCCTGTGTACCCGTCACCGCCAACAGCAAACCGTTATTAGATCCACCTCCACACCCACACATCCCGCCGACAACAACCACCGACGATTGCCTTCATCGCAACGGAGTCCCCACCAGAGGAACAATAACGACGTTCTGACTCAACGCTCGACTTGGAAAGATAGTCCGACACACACGGACAAAAGAGAGGAAGACACACAGACACAGACACACACACACACACAGAGAGAGAGAGAGAGAGAGAGAGAGAGAGAGAGAGAGAGAGAGCGTCGACACACCACTCTCGAAATGTGCAAAATGAGTATGAACTTCCTGCTAGAACATGGGCAGATGCACCCGCCACATTTTTGTCTTTTCCACATTGAGAGAGAGAGAGAGAGAGAGAGGGCGTCGACACACCACTCTCTACTCGAAATGTGCAAAATGAGTATGAACTTTCTGCTAGAACATGGCCAGATGCACCCGCCACATTTTTGTCTTTTCCACATGTCGAGAGTCGTGTGGCGAGGCCCAGAGAGAGCGAGAGAAGGAGAGGAGAACTGGGAGGAGAAGAAGCGAAGAGTCTGGAGAAACTATGGAACGACCAGCACAGTGGTCACAGGAGGATTTTTTTATTTTTTTTTCGGACAGATTGATTGTAGGTTTACCAGGTTCTGCGTGTAAATTCATTGAGAGCCTACTGGTAGTTCCACCACTCGCCATTCGCCGATATTATGAGCGCATCTGGACATAAGGGATGTCCACGTGCGTTCAAAATGTTGGCGGGTGACGAGTGGTGCAAATCGGCCCAAAATCATCGTGGAACGATGATCATTCAACGAAGGGCGGCGTCGTGAGCGGGCTTGTCCTCACTCTGTCCACCTCATCCCCCCCTTAACGCAACAGGCTGTCCACTTCCCTCTCGCGGCAGTGGAAACCCATAACAGCGCCACTTTAGAGGCTCCCCAATATTTTTTTTTTCAAGTAATAATAGAAGGGTGGGCTTGGCCAGTGAGTTTCTCCTGCCCGCTTGACCGCCCCACTGTGTGGACCATTTCTCGATTTATGAGCGTCCTCCTTGGGGCCATGCTAATCTTCTCTGTATCGTGATTGCTAAAGTGGATGGAGGCTTGCAGCCAGGGATGTGTTTTGGGATCTTTACCCCACGGACCCAAGTTACACGTGGCTGGGTCAAACTCCACAACATGTTGGGGTCAGAAGGTGGACCGATTTTTAAGCCATCTCGGAGGCAAGCAAAATCAATGTGCTGACAGTACAGGCCTCTAACGAGCCCCTTTCGGATCGCAGACCAGTCATGATGGAGTGCACATTATCTGAGCTGGTGGAAAGGGGCGCCGGTTACTTTCGGTTAAACCACCAGTACCTAGCGGTTGTTAAGCCTACCGGTATCCCGACCCTTGCCGAGCCTCGAGCTACCGGTAGGTACACATCAAAACAAAGAAAAAACAAAAAAACAAAAAAAATGACAGTTCTTCTGCCCCAAAAAAAAAAGAAATTGAAACACAAAGAAGCCCAAGAGAGAGAGAGAGAGAGAGAGAGAGAGAGAGAG